TCATTCTACATCCTCTCTGGGGTGATTTTTTGTTTCTTTTTTAATTTCAAGGCTTTATTACATATAATACTGATTATTTGTTATATTTAATAATGATTATTTCCAAAAATGTTACTACTTTCTTACACCTTATTGCAACCATTCTGAAATTCTTGCAGTTTTTGAAACTTTTTATATACCCTGACTTCTGGTCCTTCAGGAATGCCATCTTTCTGGAATATTCTAAAAGCACTCCTTCCTCTCCTGTTTATCTGACTTAACTTGAGTATATCATTTATTTCAGCTTGCATACACTTCTTCTGGGTTACAATATCTAAGATTAGATGCTTCTGTTATTGTTGTTTCAATAATACCTTATACTGCCTATAAAAATATAAAATATATATTGAAATCACTTGTTTAATTATAATAAATGCTTTTACCTACCAGACTGTAACCACTCTGAGAAATGAGTGTTGAACATTGTATTCCCAAGGCCTAATACTACTCATTCATTCATTCTTTCTAGGTGATGTATCTCTAAAAATTAGAACTCTATCTGCTGTAAAGTTCTCAAAATATTTTGAATGAATAAAAATTTGAAGTAGCTTTTCACTCTAATTTACAGAATAGGAATCTGGAGTTAGAGATGTTAAGCACTTGCTCAAGGTCACAAATTAATCTACATATATAAAAGCCTAAGCGAAAATCTGATCCTTCGACCATCCAACCAGTAGCTATGACATGCACTGACCACCAGGGGGCAGACGCTCAACGCAGGAGATGCCAAGCTGCAGTGACTTGGCAGCTGTGGTTCTCCGGTGATGCACCCAGAACCAGAGAGGAGGGAGCCCAATTCTGGAGTGTATCACCCAAGAACCAGCCTCTTGTAATCCGGGACCCCTTGGGGGATGTCAGAGAGCTGATTTTGGCCTGATCCCCATAGGCCAGGCCGGGGGATCCCACTGGTGTAGGAATCCATGCACCAGGCCTCTAGTTAGTAATAAGGCCAGAATTTGAACTTATGTTTGCCTAATTACAAAGCCTATATTCTCTATATACAACATTATATAAGATGTATAAAAAGAGGCTTTATGTAACAACAATGAAAGAGCAGAAAAATGAGGACAATTTGTGGTACACTGTTCTCTTATGATTTTTTTTCCAAAATTACTTATTGAATATTTGAAGTGTGTCCGGTGTAAGTACCAAGTATTAACAGCCACAACTAGAATCAGTAACAAGAAATGTTATATATATTTTCTCAAAAGCTATATTCCTATAACCTGTGTAATTTTAAAAGGCGTTATTTCCCATAGCTAAATTTAATTACATATTACATAGGTAAAAATCAGAATTTGATTTAATGGAAGGGATAAGCCATAGAAAGAATTAAATTTTTCACCTTTTTCAAAAATATTCTATCTTTTTTTTAAGACTGTATTATCAGCATGGTATAATGAAGAAATAATGTATGTTGGAATCAGTCAGATTTCACTCTGACATTTACTGTTTACACAATGTATCCTCAGGCACGTTACACTGTTTTCTTTTAAAAAATGGGGTTAGCAATAATAATTCCTGGGATGTTAGAATGTAGGAAATACTTACATGTGGCTAGCCTAGTACATCATACTCAATACTAAATAATAATACATAATGTATTATAGTCTCTTTCAGGTTTACACTCTTCTAGCCCAGGAACCCTATAATGTTCCTACCTTGCTATTTATTTTAACTTGAATCTCCACATACTTAGTCATGAAGGTCAAATTCACATATATAGAATGTAAACTAATATTTTCAAACCTATGAAAACTGGATTTTGAGACTTCAGTAATAAGTTACTTAGAAATATCTATTTTGTGGTCAAGGAGGAATAAAAAGAAAGAAAATTCTTAGGGCTTAAATGAGCTGAGACAGGAAAGAAACATAAATTGGATCTGAAAACTACCTCATTGGGAAACATTCTTCTAAGCTTTGTATACTGGATAAATATAAGTACTATACCAACCATGATTGCCCTTGAGAGAGAGGGAAAATTGTTGTAATTTACATAATAGCATACATACAACCTGGCAATAAATTTTAAGTGAAAGATATAATAGATAAATTGAGCACACTACCTGCAAAAATAGAAGAATTTTAACAGTCCATTAATCCATAATAAATATTTGATGAGGTTGAAGTAACTACAGAAATAAAATATAGTTTTCTTGCTGTAATTGTAATGTGATAAAATGTAAGCCATTTTAGTTCATAATTTTTTTTTTCGGAGTAAATCGGGTAATCTTTTCAAGTGTCCTACAATTTGTGGCCCAAGGAAGATCAAAAGTTAAATTATATTTATGTACAATCAAGAAAGAAAATATTATTTATAACATTAAAACCTTTGCCTAATACTCCATAAAAATTCATAATGGTATTTTATTAGAACAAGGATCCAGAAAAGAAAATGAAATATTTAGATACGATTTTCAACTTTTAAATTAATGCTAATACAGAAGGACAAGGGCAATGTTAAATTTATTTTAAGAAGTTTGGTTTTGTTTTATTTTTAGGGGTAAAATATATTATCATTAGACATCATTTCTCTATCTCCACCAGGTACCAGGATAGAATATGGAAGAATTATAGATACAGTATTTTCCACCATTAGTGGAAAAAATTAGGGGCCCTATATTTAAATTTTCTGATGACCCTAGATTTAATTTTTGATGGAACTCTTTATAAATAGTATGGCACATTTGACTACACTAATAAACAGAGAAGAGCCAAATATAACTTTAAAATTTCTTTGTTAACAAGTGTTTTTTTGTTGTTTTTTTTCTGAAATTCAGTTATTGTGTTCTATTGGAATGCTGTGATAACCCCAGGAGTGATTCAGGTGATGAACCCTGGTTTGTTTTTTTGTTTGTTGTTTTGATTTGTTTTGGGGGGGAGGAGTTTGCTGTGTTAATGGCTTTCCGGCTGTTGTGCATTTTTCAATGAGGATTCTCCTGACTTCTTGGTCTTTTGAACTTAGAGGATCGAGAGATCATGTTACAAACCAAGAATCTGTAACCAGAGAAGCTGTGTGATTTACCAAAGGTCACACTGCTTTGATAACAAAACAGGAATAAAACATTAGTAACTTATTTCCTTACACGTGTCCCTTCAGTTAATGCCTTTGTTCTTTTTAGTGACTTGCCCTTTGAGCTTCCAAGTTTTTTTCTTTATATAATTTTACTCTGGGTCCTATAAACGAATTCAGACTATGAGGTTACCAGGAGAAATGATGTAACTCAGTATTACGTAAAAAAATAAATCAGAAATGATATGCAATTATTTAAAAACATATTATGCACATATATGTTTCTCATGACCACTGTGGGTAGAAGGGGTATGACTCATTTTGTTAAAGATTGAAGATACACGGGATTTTAGATTATCTTATTCATTTTGTAGGGTGTTTGTTTGTTTGTTTACCCTTTGGAAGCTAATATTCAGATTTCTTTTTACCTTTTTTTAGAATTAGAATCTAAGAAATTAAAAAAAAATCTTAAAGGTCAAATAGAAAATATTCTAACCAGTAAAATACCCACCAAATATCAGAAATTTCCAAATGCTGGGGCAGTTTTTTTCTTGTAAAGCTTGTGATGTTGGTTTATATGCTTCTAAGTTTACAGGAGAGAGACTTAAAAATGTGTGTTAGCCAGTTATACAGGCAGTCCTCGGGTTATGTCGGACTCGATGTACATCGGTTCGTGGTTATGTCGCTATCTCCCATTTATTTATATAAAAAAAGTTACGTGATTTCGACGTATGTACATATGTGCTTTATGTTTTTTATTATTTATTTACCACAAGTAAAGGTCAGGAATTGTTATCTTTCTTTTAAATTTTTTTGACTGTTTTACCTCATTACTGCTGTGTCTGTGCTCCATGTGAGTGACGTAAGTGCTTATGTGGGTGGGTTCCCACTTACAGCAAAAATCACGTTATGTCGCGCTGTAGGAACGGATCTCCGGTGTAACCCGGGGACCTACTGTAGATGCAAAATTATGGGAAGTAGCTTTTTTTGAAAATTAGATTTCATCATATCTTAGAGTCTGCATTTAGTTGTTTACTCATTGAACCATAATTTGTAGATACTAGTACTTTGTTGCATGTCTACTGTTCAGCTTCTAAACATCAGATATACTTATCAAAGGAAGAAAACATATTTGGGCAACATTCATGTTGATTCTTGAAGCATAAATGTAAGTTTTCATTATCTTGTCAGTTAACAAAAGAAAACTCTCTTAGAAGTATTGATTAAATCACACGTTGGTCATTTTCCTTTTTCTTGCCAATACTTTTTTTTTTATGTCAGAAGATTTGTTGGTTTGCTGTATGATATAGTCTATCCTTTGATATAGTCTTACATCTCTATATATCAGTGATTGCCTCCTTCTTACATCTATCTTTGAATAACACTTAGGCACTAATCATACTTTTTAGTATTCAAAAAGTTAAATTTATTCTAAAATTTATATAACAACTAATTTTATTGAGTTGCTTTGTTTTGATTTTACTTTCAACTTACGATGTTGACAGCTCTCAGAGGCAAAGTTAGATCTAACTCTCCTACTTTGGCTCTCTGTATTCAGAAAAGGCCTTTTTTCTTTTAAAACATATGCACATGACTTTGTAGCACTGGAGCATAGAGCTTCATCCAGCTGTTTCTCTCTGAGAGGAGGCTGAGTCCCTTGGTGCAGACAGCTGACATCTATTCCTTTTACTCGCAATACCATGAATCCAAAAAGTCCTTCATCAGATGATTCTCCTTGGTTTTCAGTCACTGGAAAGTGCTCATTTAAAAGATATTAAAAGTACGTGTATCCTATGGCCTCAAGAAGTCACTGTCACTATATGTTTCCTCTGTATCATTTGTGGAAAAATAGGAGTGGAGCTCTGATTAAATTAGCAAATGAGATACCGATGAAGTCAAGCACAGTCTATATCATCTTTCCTGTTGGATGTGTTTATATCTTTCACAGAATTCCCAACTTGTGAGCCACTAACTCAATTTATATGCAAAAGTGGAAGGTGCATTAGCAGCAAATGGCACTGCGACTCTGGCAAGTACCGAATGTTCACTGTGCTGCACTGATTTGATTGGGGGCCTGGCTGTCTGTGCTGCTTCGCCTCCTTCAGAGCGGTCTGCAGAGAGGCGTGCAGAGTCAAGCACAATGGCTGGAATGAGTGGTGAGAGGGCAGCTGGTACACGGATAGGGATTAGCATTAAGGATAATGGAGCTCACTATCTGTCCCATGGGGCTGTGATAGGCATTTGTTTTCAGTTCCTATGCCAGACACAGTCTAAGTCTGCAAACATGAAGTAAAAAGGAGACAATTGAAGAAATGACCTGGACAAATCAGATTCCCCAAGGTATATATGAAAAATGCTCTGTAACCCAGGATGGAGTAGTGTATAAATTCTTATATAATTATCCAGATGGTCTCAATTCTGTCACCTTGCTTTTTTATGTGCAAATGATGTGGGTTTTTTCTTATACTCATTTGTATTATCACCCTAAATTATGCCAAGTATAGATAAATGAATTAGATATAATCGATGCATTCCCAGCTATTGATTTCAATGTAACCTGTTTTCACTTTATATTTCTCTCCCTTCCCTTTCGTAATAGTTGTTAATAAAAAAATATAAATCATTGCTAATGTAGTGTCCAACAATTTCCCAGTGTAAATACACTCTTAGGAGGTAGTGAGGGGGTGGGGGGGGGGGGCGAGAGTTATACAGTGGCCCTCAGGTTGGAGAATGGGGAATGAGGGATTGAATGGAAGATATAAATTCTGATGCATGGATATGGTAGTCAAAATAACTTTCCACAATAATTATGTTGCTAACTATATCATTTCATGAAATTCCTACAGTCACCATTGTTGTCCCACTTCATAATTATATCATGCTGCTTAGATTTATTCAGTAAAGTGGTTGATCAGTTCTGAGTGAAATAGAAATTAAGCTTCAATATTCAAAGTCAGGATTTTTTCCTCTTAATTTAGTAGTTGTATCAAATCATAAGTGAAGCAATATAAAACAGAAAATAGTATCCCACTGTTCATGGGAACAGCTGACCACCGATTTGGTGTGCCTTTTTCAATAACAAAACAAAACTCTGAGGGGAAAAAGCACTTAGATATTTCGTAATAAAACGTCTCTCCCTGGATCAGTTTTCACTGGGTTTACATTGACGTTTCTCTCCAGACGATGACTGTGGGGACGGGAGTGATGAAGTCGGCTGTGTTCACTCTTGCCTTGATCACCAGTTCAGATGCTCCAGCGGCAGATGCATCCCCGGCCATTGGGCCTGCGATGGTGACAATGACTGTGGAGACTTCAGTGATGAAACCCAAAGCAATTGTACCAAGGAAGGTTAGTCATTTTATGAATCTATGCAATCTCATTCTTAAGTTATATCATGTTTGGAGTATTTCAGAGTGAATAGTATGTAAAAACTAGTGACCCGGTGCATGGATTCGTGTACATTGAAAGGAAATTAATTAGAAGGTGCTGGCAGGGTGGGACTGGGGTCCCTTGGCCTGGCCTGCAGGGATCGGGCTGAAATCAGCTCTCTGATATCCCCCGAGGGGTCTCTGAGTGCAAGAGGGCACTCTGCAAAGTTGCTGTCAAACAGGGTGTGGAATGCAAACGCAAGTGTACAATAAACCAGATTCGGGGCCGACAGTGCCCCAGCAACAACATAACCCATGGCTAAAGGTGGAGTCGTGCAGTCCTGCAAGGAATTGGGCTCCCTCCTCTTTGGTTTCAGGGTGTGTCACCCAAGAACCGCCACTGCAAGTCACTGCAGCTCGACAGCTCTTGCATTGAGCATCTGCCCCCTGGTGGTCAGTGTGCATCATAGAGACCAGTCGGACGGTTGGACACTTAGAATGTTAGCCTTTTATATATAGAGATACATTGCTTATCAGAAAAAAATATATATGTATATAAAATTGTGTAAAATAATGTGCTGATCTCTTTTCTTTCACTCTTTCCTTTCTCTGGTTTCTCACCTTAATTCCTCCTTATACTTTAATACCTTTTTCTCTGTTTTTTACTTCCTACTTTTGATAAATGCTTTAGTTTCATTAGATGCTTTACTTACTACATTTTAACCCCCATCTAACTTCTAAATGACCAAACCCCAAATCCATCCCAAAAGGAAAAAAAAAGAAAAGAAAGAAAACAAGAAAGGCATAATTTTCCTTTTATTTCCACGCCACATTTGTTTCCTTAAGGTTTGAAATAATTCCCTATTAAAGGGTGATATAGTCCAACTGATGGACTTTCTGGAAAGCTAGCTAATGCAGGAGGATATCATGACATGACTTTCAGCATATCCATGGGCAATTGGGTCTTGTCATTTGCATGAGTTACTTTGCAAATGTGATGAACAATAAGGAAATATTAATAAATTAGAAATCATGTACAAATAGAACAGGAAAAAACTATTAGGCTGTCAAACATTTATATAATCAGTAACATTTGAAAGTAGAACGCTATTCATCCTTTCATTTATTCCACAAATATCTACTGAGAACTTCTTATGTGTCAGGTACTGTGCTTGGACTGAAAGGGTAGGTAAAAAGATAAGAAAGCATGGTCTCTGTTCTGTTTTAAATTTCTAACAGGCAAACAGACAAATAATAAAGTGATTTATTTAAATGGTAGTGTTAGGGGAACCCTATACTATGTGATCATAAGAAAGCAATCATTTTCACAGTCTTTTTCCAAGGAGATATATCAGTCTTTTGTAAATATTTGACAACCTATAAAATAGAAAGTTTCTGAAGTATTTACTTTGATATGATTCCTTTTGTTTTCTCTTCTCTCTCTCTTTAACTCTCCCTCCAACCCTCCCTCCTTCTCCTCATTATTTCACTCTGGTTTCCTTTTACCTCTCAATTTAGTTGGTTCACTAGTGTATATGAGCTATGCTTTTTTAAAAATGTCACATGGAAAAAGTGAATGAAAATATGTTTTTCAATTTTTCTTTGTATATTTGAAACATTCATCTGAGATGTGGTTGACATTTCATTGCTAAATTACATTTTGAATATAAACTGCCTTTTCCCCTACCTCACAGATGTCTTTTAAAGATCCTCGTGAGGTGTGCATCTGTGGCTGCTGGCACTGCCCCATAATATTCTGTAAAAGATAAATTGCCCCAACGTTAATTTACTTTCATCTCAGACTTAAAATCCCATCCGTCTCTTCAATGTCTATTGATCTTTAAGTTTGAATGCTCATTGCACATTAAGAAGTTTTGGAGAGATTGTTTTAGCCTCATGAGTCTCTGAAGTGGGTGACACACCCCCCTGGAGTCTCTTCAGAGTTTTGGGTGGGGGGGAGGGGGGTTGAATTATTGTTGAATCAGTGACTATTTAATGTTAATGGCCTTCATCTGTAGAGCACTGCAGTTTCACTAATAGATCACTGTAAATGATGTACTATCCATGTGAACGCCATGCATTTTTGTATGATTGTGGAAATTCACTAAGGAAATGACCCAGATAATCTACTTGATTCTTGAACATGTTTCAAGCAGAGGATGAGGAGGACTTCCGGAGTTAATTTATATTTATCAGGTTACAAATTGTACTAGGATTCCCTAGTCAAATACTATCCTTGGTAAATACAGGTTATGTAATTGAAGGAAAGTAACAAGCTGGGATCACTTTGGTGCAGGACAATCCAGAGTATTTCAAAAGGCACTTCAATACTTTTACTCATCATTATTGTGGCTGTGTATGCTGACATAGACATTGTAAAATGTCGATGACGCATAGGCATGCTCAAGAGGATCAGAAGGCCATTTTGTACATGCAGGGTTTGTGAGGCCTTGCCAAGGTAAAGTAGTAAGTTGATGCAATTAGTCATGTAATCCAGTCCCCAAACCTCAGGCGGAAGAAAGAGCAGGGCATTCTGGCTTGAATTTCAAGACTGGCTGTCAAAACTGATCAAATCCACTGCGTCATTGCTCAGCACCTTGCTTTACACTGCCTGGGGAAGCAGAGCATATGGTGTAGTTTTTCTCAACTCACATTGTTTTTAAAATACACTTGAATTAACTTTTAATAGTAAGGGAGCAGGAGAAACCAGGGCATGGAACATTCTGGATATAATTTCCACTTCAGAAAATTTTGGAATTGAAGTTTGATTCATATTCTCTCTAAACTTCTTTCAAACAAAAGAATTTCTATAGTGATCATCACTGTTTTCATCATCAACATGGTGAAGAAATGAAAAAAGTTCCCTTCTAAATTAATGTATACTTATCTCTTCCCCTTAAGGTTGTGCTGCTCTTTCCTCTCACTTCCAAACTTCCTTTTGGAAGTGAGAGGCAAAAACCCAACAACAACACAATATCTCTAGAAAGTGCTGTATTTTCATAATTACTTTTGCATGTGTGCACAACCACTACAAGCAACAGTGGAATAGAAAGACAATATAGAGCAAATTGATTCTTTCCTTTGTTTAAATGCCTGTTTCTCATTCATTTAGCTCTGGTTTCTTTTTTATCCTGAATCCTTTGATCAATAAAATATATTTCTACAATGACCCATTTATAAATCTACTGGGTAAATCATTTTTTTTCCAAGTGGAAAAATACGTGAGGCTGAACCTCAAAAATTTGGTATGAGGAATTTTCCTCTACAGACTCAGTACTGGTTATTTACTTAAGCATTGAAAGGTTTTTAAAAAAAATTATTTCACTTGTAGGGATATCAGGAATAAAGTTAAAACGAGAATCTAGTCTTTTATTACAAGTCTTTAACTCGCTGGCTGAAATGTTAAAAAAAAAACAAACAAAAAAAAAACAACGCTGGACATATGTCACATCTACAAAATACAGCTCCATAGAATTAATCTTTTCTCATTGTTGACAGTTTAATTCATGTGAATTATGTAAACTTTCATTCTTATACTCTTTGGGAACAGTCTCAATCATATTTCATCCAAAAAATAAGCATTTCTGAAGCAAACACATGAAAATTGTTCAGTATCATTAGACAGCTATTCCCTCTGGGCAATTTCATTCTGAAATTATTGTAAAAATTATATCAAATAGTTTCAACATGGAGCTGATGGAGAAGGGGACAGATATCCCCTAGAATAGATTTTGCCTCAATTTTGTAATTTATGCTAAACAGAACATAAATATCCCTCAAAGAATTAGATTTTCCTTTGCTTTGAAGAAAGTAAAGATTTATGGTAATTGTCTTTAATGCCTTTTGTTCGGCTGTCTGAAAAGGGGATATTTACTGCCTACTGCACTAGATGCCTGAACTGGGTGATGCTGGAACACATGTGATCTCTTATTTATATTTTGAATACAAATAATATGCAAATTTAAAACTAAGAACGTATTGGCCTTCACTTTTTTTAAAAAATATATTTTATTTATTTTTTTACAGAGAGGAAGAGAGAGGGATAGAGAGTTAGAAACATCAATGAGAGAGAAACATCAATCAGCTGCCTCCTGCACACTCCCTACTGGGGATGTGCCCACAACCAAGGTACATACCCTTGACCAGAATCGAACCTAAGTTCGCAAGCTGACGCTCTATCCGCTGAGCCAAACCGGTCAGGGCTTGGCCTTCACTTTTTATCTATTAATAATAACTTTAACAAGTTCCCAAATCCATTAGGCAGTTAAATGTATAACATTATTAATATTCACTCTCATACATGATCCCATTTGTCTGCTGTTGATGTTTAACTTTGCTTCTGCTTTGGAAATTTCTGCTTTCCTTTTGAGCTCTGTCCCCATCCGTTCATCATTGATTTTTTCACCTTACTATTTCCTTGTTCCCAAATTTAATAAGAAAACGAGAATAGCTTTCTTTGTAGTTTTATAGTCAAGTACAATACTTACCGCACAGTGAATGCTCAGTAAATAATTATTGAGAGAAAGAGTCTATATCTTGAAAAAAAATGTTTTTACTTACAGAATTCACCCTTTATTTGTTTTGTCTTATTTATCTTGTAACTTTTATCTGTTACCTCACTTCACCTCCAAATCCTGGAGTTTGTTTTCATGAAGATGAACAAGACCTAGGTACACTGATTTGGTCATGTGCATTTTCTTAATACAATGTAACTTATTTCATTCATCTAATAAATATTTGCAATTTCAACCCAAGATTTAATAAAATAAAATAGGATGTCTTTCTAATCTTTTATTATTTTCTTTGTTTGTTTAAGTCTTATCTGGAACAGTATATTCTCATTAGTTGGTGACTCATTAGTTGCCAAGCACTTTACACTTGTTATTCCAATTAATCCTCACAATAAGATTTAAGTTAAAATATTTGCCTATGATTACATAGTTGGAGCTTCAAACAAAGGTTGTCAGCTCTTTTTATTTT